CTCCCACTGCCTCACAGAAGGGAGATAGTGCCATGCACATGCCAAGAGCATGCCACTCCCTCCCCACCTCACTCTTGCTTCTAGATCTCAGTAGTTGGTTTCTCAATTCCTGTGCTTAGTGCAGGCAACTAGAGTTAAAAGAAATAATGGGGATTATGGCAACAGGCTCAAGAGGATTGAAGTGAGAAATCACGCAGCCACTCCTAAATCATGTTTGCATGCGCATTTGCACGCGTGCACACACACATGCACAAAATTCCACAATGGCAAAAGGATGTGTGAATGTAGTTGATCCAAAGGGAGGTCTAAGTGCAACCGCAGAAGGGGACCAATCCACAAATCTGTCTTCTTTCTCTGATTCATACTCCTCTCACAGCTAGGTCAAAAGAGGGGTTTATCCCAGAATTTGGTCAACTTAGTTTTCCTTCACAAAGAACTCACACCCTTCTATGGCAATGACTGTTATGGGATAGGTTAAGTAATTGCTGCAAGAACTGGAATAAACATATTTTCAGCTCTCACCAGCTAGGTCAGAGGATTTCACTGATTCTTCTTTGCACACAGAAGAGTGAACTCTCAAAGAAGGACTTTACTCATCTATTTTCAGTTTTGACAGATTTCTGTCAGAATTTCCCATCCTTCTAGCTAAGATTTGCCATACCCTTCAACAAAAAGAGGACAAAACACAAATCCTCCCACCTCACCCCACAAGTGTTCCCTCCCACAAGCTACTTCCAAATATTTCACAGTGCCCTGTGTTCCTCAACAAGATCCAATTGCCAGTTTAGCCATGGGTAAGCTATCTAACAACTTAGCCAATAATGTTTCCATGCTGTCACACAGCATCATGGATCAGCTCAAGATTTTGGTGGTAGATGTCTCAGTGTTTGCACTGACCTTGAAAGCAAGTATCTCAACAGACAACGAAATGTTTTAAGTATAGAATCACAGATTCACAGAACAGTAGAGTTGGAAGGGGCCATGAAGGCCATCAGGGCCAACCCACTGCTGTTGCAGGACACCAAGTTTCAGCATCCCACTCCGATGGCTATCCAGTTTCTTTTTAAATGTCTCTAGTGTGGGAGAGCCCACCACCTCTCTAGGCAGCTGGTTCCACTGTTGTATGCAGAAGTAGGCAGAGGAACTACTTCATCCAAACAATTGAAGGAAGGGCTGAGAAAGACCAAAATTCAGATTCATTGACAGGAATTAATGCCATTGTTGGGTAGATGTTGAGTCCCAGGTGCAATTTACTGGCATCTCATTTATAGGCACCTGTCATTTTAGAAGAAGAAGTGATATTTATAGGAAGCAAAATCAGAAAGGCTCTCTACATTACAGACTATTTGAAAACTAGGCCTCAGCACTCTTTTCTCCCCTGTTCACTTTGGTTCAACTTTGGTTCCCTGCCCCATGCACACCTGAAGATAGGTGACTCTGCTTCTGAGATGTCTACAGAAAACCAAACTAGTCAACATTCAGCTTGGCATCATCTGTTCAAGACACAAACAAGAACACTTTTCTTGATGCCAGTCAGACTAGCTCCCAAGGGCATGTACATGGCAAACTTCTTTGCTTCACTTGCAAGGTGAGGCACAGAAAATATTCTTTCACTGATATATGCTTACGTTAACACATCTCCTTAAAATGAATTCATAGCCAATTCAAGAATTCTGTCAAATATTGGATGTTCCAGGAAACCAAGTAACAGTCTTGAACAGCCAGGCAATCAAATGTATTCCATAGGTTACGTGGTAATTTAGGGCTTTCCTGTTTTTATTGGTGCTCAAGAAGAATGGCGATAGAAGAGCCATGCTGAACTTGAAGTGGCTGAAAAAGTTCATTCTTGTCCAAGTAGTACTTCAAGATGGAAACACTGAATGCTGTAAGAGTTGCCATACCCAAAGAAGCCTTTTTGATATTAATAGGCCTCTGTGAATAATATCATCATATAATGATCATGTTCAGACACAGGAAATTCATAAGCTTCAAATGTGACAGGAAGCATTTTTGCCCTTCAGGTCTCTGACTTCTTGGCACCACTGGAAGCACAAATTAGGCAACAAGAAGCATATGTTTAGCTAGATCTGGATTATCTAATATGCTGTGTAGACACAGGGTTTGTGGGACCTAGACACCATTCTTGCAGCATGTTTCAGGAAATATGGGTTTGTTGTCAACACAGAAGGGAGCTACCTGGTAGCAATTGGGGTGATCCTAGTCATCAAACAACCTAGGATGTACCTAACAGAGGAGCAACAGGTTGCTTTGGCTATTGGGCAGTATAGAGATATAATAAACAGACAATACAATACAGGAAATAGGGATGAGAACTGTCATGACACTAGCTCAAATTCAGGTCATGTTGATGCTTCCAAGAATTCCTGTAGTGATCTCAATACCATACCAGGTCTCCACAGTGCATCCTGCAGTACAGTTCCCCAAACTGATAGATAATAGGTATGTGTAAAGGTGGATATACCTCAGGATGTGAAGATATCATTGGACTTATGGCTACCTTCTCACCAGCTAGCTCAGGAGATGTTTCTAACAACGCCCCAAAGGAGACTAATTACTAGGGAGGCCAATTTGTGTGGTGGCCTCTCTTGGAGAGGCACATCACTCAAGGGAAATGCTCACCATAACGGACACAGAACAGCATAAATTAATTGGAACCATCAAGCTGGCCCTGTTAGACCTCCAGAACCAGATCCAGAACAACAAATTTGAACAATATGTCTGCCAAGGCATATATCAACAGGCAGGAAAGTAGAAGAAAGAGGACTCACCACAAGGAAGCCTGTGCTATTAGGACTTGAGTGAAAGTTAATCTCACTTTTCCTCTGTTAAGAGTGCAAAAATGGCAGGGACAACCACTTCATCAGTGTGAGATTTACTCAGGCAAACATTTTTTCAAAAGTTAAAGTGGGCTTTATACGTCTTCTCTTCAGGCAAATCATTTACTATTTCAGAAAGTTGGAAACAACAAAAAGGGAGTTCTGTTGAACTCTCTATTTGTGCATAGGCTTCCAATGTGAAATTTGAACTGGGTGCTGACAGCTTTCATTGAAGTATCATTTGAACCTATAGGACACTGTTCTCTTAAGATTAATTCCTTGAACACTGAAGAGTTTGGTGGGCATATTGACATAGAGATGGCATAGACTGGGTATGTGATAGGCCCTGTTTTTGTTTTTTTTTTTTGCCTGAATGGTCCATTTTTGAAAGTCTGGATCCTTTCTTATGACCTTTCAAGAGTCTGTGGGTAAGGAAGTATTAAGAGCAGCTATCTCTAGGTAGTTGTGAAGTTGCCTTTTATTGGTCTATGAAACTTTGGGAAAATAACCCCTCATGAAGGATATGGGTCATTTAGTTAGGGAAATAGCATCACCAGCTCCTCTTTGGAACAAGCAGCTATGTAGACTTCTGCATATCCACTTACATTATATTTTTACATGAATACTGCATTTATGAAGAAGATGTTGAAAGATGTGTCAATACCTTGAGGATGCTGGTTCATCTGTATGCTCTGCTTTTCTACATTCTGGATGGGAATAATTCAGAATGCCCTCTGGGAATCCTGGAAAAAAAGAAACTCTTATCATGAATTCCTCTTCTCCATGAGTCCCAGAGGGTATCCTCCCCACCTCTGCTGTCCAGGTGGGCAATCAGTGCTTCTGCCTTTCCATATGTGTGGTCATGGTAGGTACTTCTGGGGAAAGTTTTCTGATCTACTATTACTTTCAGAATTTGCTGAATGGTTATTTACATTTTTTCTGGGTGACTGTTTGCCAGCATTTTGCCTTATTAATTGCGCCTTTTACAGTTGTGTCTTGTCTTCTGCTTTTTTTGTTTGTTTGTTTGTTATGACCTGGAAGGGCAAGGACTTCCCCTTCCTTGGAGAAACTTTTGAAAGACATTGATCCTGCCTCCTGATCCAAGGGAAGGATATTTTCTGAAGAGTAACTCAATCGGAATGCCCCTGGGAATTCTGAAGAATAGGAATTCCCCATAAGAATGTATTTTTCTATGGCGCATAACTCACAAGTCTTGAATGCTTTTATCTACTAAGAGCCTAAAACATCCTAGCGAATCATATATTGAAATGGTATGCTACCATATAGATGCTCTTTTAGTTTGCCACTACATAAGAACTGTAGGAAAAAAATTTAAAAAATGCACATCAGGTATTTAACATTTATTTTCGTTTCTCATTTAGTCAGACAACTGATGTTGCATTAGACTTTTAAGTTATTGAATTTTCTTCCATGGTTATGAATCATAGTCATGTATATTTTTTAAGAACATCACTGAGATCAATGGTACTTTCTTAAAAGCAGATTCATTATCAAAGCAGTTGCACTAAAGGAGTGTGAATGTGTTTGGAACTAGGATCTTTTGTAGGCCTCTTGCAATTAAAATGCTAGTTTATGAGCTAAATTCTTTGCCTGTATCTTGCTTTTTTACAAAGTTAGAATACACTGTATATAATTTATTTTAAATGTTGTTTCTGTTACAAATGTTAACTATTTTATTCTATAGTTCTCCAGAGGGTGGAAATAAGAATGAGATGGAGAGAGAAATAATATTAATTCCTTCATTTACTTGTCTAACTGTTTTTGAAGGAATGAAAGTGAATTAACAGTGTTATCCTTTCCTAACAATTATCTTTTGCTACTCTAGCTAGTTTAGTTCTAAAAGACAGTGCCATTGACAAGGGGGGGGAAAAGAACCTTCTTGGATTTTTTCAGCTCAGCGGTGGTAATGTTGCACTGAACACTAATGAGGGAACCCCCACTGCTTTGCCTGCTTTGTGACTTTTCTATTTCATAATTATTTTTAAAACGCAAAACGACATGAGGTAGCCCAGTCATGCCTCTGCTACTTCCTGGTACCTCGGCACTCGCTACAGATGGCAATTTGTTCTTGTAACATATATGTCTCTCTAGCCATTTTCATCTAATTTGTATGGGTTCGACCATTTCCTTTCTCTCTTTCAGGGGCCTTGCTGTGTGTGAGCTAGGGGGTGGCATGACATGCTTGGCTGGGCTTACGGTAGGTCTTTTCTCCATTCCAATTCTATTCAGAGGGAGGAACAAAAGGAAAAAATGTTCCAGTGCCTCCAACTGCTGGGTCAGAGAACTGTCAACAGAATCAGCCGCGGTCAAGCTGTAGAGTCTTGAGAGACCTTCTAGATTGACTTGCTTTCGTATTATATTGATTTTATGGTTGCCTCGATGAGCAGAAACATTTTACCTCAGTATAGTCAATATCTCTTGTTGTGACATTCCAGGCCACGTACGGTCTGTCTTTCATTGCCATAGCTGAAACCCCCCTCTCTTTTCAGATTATAGTCCCCCATTTGCTAAGATACAGGAATAGCCTGGCGAATCACAGTTGGAGCACCATGATATAGCTGCTAATGTTTTGCCTGCATTATTACACCAACAAACATGATCCAGAGCTCTCGGTAATTAGATTCTTTTGAATTAGATTGGCCATTCAGGAGCGTCATTCAGCATTCTCTGGGTTCTGAGTCATGTATTCAGGAGATATTATGTAGCAGTGCAGTGCATTAGACAAGTTTTTATGTCTCTACAAATAAAAGCATATTGTTACACTGATTGGCATTTGACAAACCTGTCGTTCTTACACAATGTGTCGAGGTTACAGCCCAATGTGCGAGCATGTCAAAGCTCACAAAAAAATTACCCTTACAAAGCCATCTGCCTGCAATGCAAAGTTATATGAAGGGCATCAGGCAGTCAGACAGAAGCAAGCTGAAAGGCAGAGTGACAGCCTCGTATGATGGCTCTACTAGATAAACAGAAGCCCGCAAATGAAAGCCTCTCAGAATACCATCATCCGCTGTCACAATGCAATTACGGAACAGAATGATAGCAAGATAGAGGCTCCCACAAATGGAATGATAAAAGTATTGACTGATTTGATTGAATGATTAAAATAATGCAGACATAAAATGAAAAAAGATTGAAGACTGTTACAGAGAAATAGGTGAGGAAGCATGATACTGAAGGCTTGTCACTCCTGTCTTCACTTCCACACAGACAAGCATATTTGCTCATTGTTTGCTGTGCTCTTTCCCCACCCCACCCCTTCCAGGTTGCTATTTCTGCAGATGTCAAAGAAGTTCTGTTAACTGATGGAAATGAAAAGGCCATCAAAAGTATCCTTATTCAGATAGAAAACTGGTTTGTTGGGTTCATTCGTTTTTTTACTGGCTGAGCAACAATTGATATAAAAAGACAGAAAGAGGTGTGTATAATTGTGTGTGTCTGTGTGCCTGTGCATGCACAGATACACACATATTGCTATAAGCAATTAAAATATACAATATTCTTGAATGGATCTACAGTGTTCTCTATAATAAACTGACATTCATTTGCATTAAAAGCATGTATATTTAGACAGAAAACATGAAGCAGCATGATAAATACCTGTCCCAGGTTATATAAATATTCAAATAAGTAAGTATTAATTGTTCTAATAAATTCCACTTGAAAAATTCAACATCAGACATTGCAATTCTAGTTCAAAGGTTTTCAGGTAGTAACTTTTTAATACTACATAAATATCTACACTGTGCAGATATTTATCTGATCTCTGCCTTTAGTTTATATTTAGCCCATGTACTAATAACAACAGTCCCAGTGACTTCTTAACTTCAAATGAAAAGCATCTGTGCTCTGTTAATTATTATTGTCCTCTTTTCCAGAATCAACCATATATTACTACTGTATTCAAATACATTTTTATGTAATCTTATTAGTATGTATGCAGGTAAACAAATTTACACTTTAATACGACTGCAAATTATTCCCTCTCAGTTAACTGAGTGTCTACAATGGCACAAGAGCTGAGTCCCATAGTGAACATTAATAGCTGTTAGAAATTGAGAGGGAATCACATAAGATATCTGTTTGCTTTGCTTCTTGAAGTTAATAACATTTGCATGTTAAGGGTCTTCATTTGGTGGGGAATACTGTAATGTCAAAATTATAGAGAAATCTTTGTTAGTGATATCGGGCTAAAGCCTTGTCTTAATTTCTTCTTAAACTCTGTTGTGAGTTTTCTTTTAAAAGATTAAAAAATGTGTGTTTCCAACATACTTGCAATAATAATGCAGGAAGGAGACTTCACAAATACTTATTTTGTGGGATCTCAGGATGAATATATCTGTTTCAAATACTTGGAGAATTCACAAGTTTAAAAAGTCCTACTTGGAAATCATGTCATTTAAAAGAGTGGCTTTTCATGAGCTTTAAAATTGGGGGGCAGAATATCTTCCTCTTGTAATATTTAGTCATACTGATTTTTTAAAATCTTCCTGGAAAATCAGTCTCATTGTATGCAATGTACTACAGTACAACATACTGCATTTTACCTTCTCCCATAGCCCTGTGAAAAAGTACTCAAAGGAAATGCACATGAGCAAAATGTTTTTAGAAATCAATATACTTAAATTGGGAAGTATTATAGCAAAATGAAGTCATTGAGGCTGCAATCCTATGCACACTTATCTGTGAATAAGCTTCATTGATCTCAGTGGGACTTACTTTTGAACCTATCTAGGAATTGTTAACTTTGATGCTATTTCATCATCCACTTTTAAGTTAGCTATAGAATCATCAGTTGAACACTAAATGTATCTAGTAGCTGTTTACATGACTATGTCATCAGTTGATCCATCATGTGAAGTATGTAACAGGTAACATTTTAGAACAAATATTTAGTAGCTTAAGGTTTTGTTTATTTATTTATTTTAGATTACATTGGAGTAGTCTAATCTCTATATCTGACACAAGGTTCATTATTAAACATTTCTTGACATAACTACCATCTCAACTTTCCTGAAATGAAAGGTTATAACAGGAGATAGCATATACACAAAATATTATTGAGATAACATTTACATGGAAGTAAGTTATGCCGAAATCAGCTGAACTCATTTTAAGTTAGACATTTTTGTGTTAGCTTTATAATCTGTTAGAATACACTTTGTGTTTCTAGTAACTTAAAATATACTATTGGCAGGATACATGAACTCAGCTAGAAACTTCTAAGCATGTGTGTTTCAAATTGTTTCCCTGTATTGGAGGATTATTGAATGCATAGTGTTAAGCTCTGTTATCGAGCTATTAAATTAAACTATGCTTCTTGTTTAAAATTAGAGTTTACTTTTGCCCCTTAAATTTCTTTGAAAGTATAAATGTCATTACCTCTATAATATCAAAAATATCTTTCTTAAAAGTCAAAATGGTGTCAACCTGGGAAGAGGGAAAATCAGTCAGAAGCCAGGAAATCACTAAGCAAGCCTGCTAATTATTCTTAATGGGCAAGATGAACACATTAAGAAACAAATGAACACATCAGTGAAATGTAATTGAAAATCGACCTGGCAGTGGTGCTTTGCATCTGAGCATCCACTTTTATATTATCATCATTGTCAGGCTTATTATTGTTGCTGTTATTAGCATTATTCACAGAGGATACCTAGGGGTGTTGCTTTTGTGTAGTCTTGCCTTTGGTTGAGGGTGGTGGTGTTGATTTATTTATTCTTTTTTTAAAAAAGAAGCTCACCAAGTGTATTGTGTCCCATCAGATTTTGATGGTTTTATTGTCAATGCATTTGTAAGAGTAATAATTTAATTTACTGTAGGGATGTCAACACTCTTTTAATATAAAATCAGTAGATATGGGGAACACACATGTTTGCTTTTGTATGAGCTATTTCATGTTTGAAGCAATCTCTCTCCATGGTATATAACATTTTAGGGTGACTTGTGGTGTTTGACATCCAAACATTAATGCACTCTGCCACTTTTCATACAATCACCTGTAACACTTAAGTTAATATATCTGCACTGAAATTAAATTTTACTTCTTGATAATAATTGCAGTATTGTGTAACATTATTGTTGTCGTCTCAAAATTGCCATCTTAAAATGTTTTTGTTTGTCTTTTGTTTGCTGGTTTATTTTTGTGTATCTTATAGTTTTCTTGGTTATATATAATGTTAAAGGGAAATTTAGTAATTAACCTGGACTCTTCTAAACTCTGAAAAATATTGATCTGAATTTCAGGTGTTGAGGCAGATCTCAATGTGACTGTCCAATGTTATATTTAAACTGAGTGCATTCTAAGAAATACAAGCTAGAAGGACTGAATTCAGTGACTAGGTTTTCAATTAATGACTATGAGTATTCTTTTTAAATGATCTGCATTTTATTATAGCTTTATTTCTGATCCTGTACTTATCATTTAAATACAGTATTTAGAATATGAGACAAGTTAAGGGTGCATTAAAACATCCATAATGCATAGAATTATCATAATAGGAAGTGTATGAATCTCTAAATGATCTAGGAAAGTTTACATTGCAAAAGATCTGTTGAGACTGCACAATATAGTATGTGGATTTCTGCACTGTGTAAAACATGTTGTCTACAATCCTATGTCCAGTTATAAACAAATGGCATGCAGAACTGTTAATTTCAATACAGTGGGATATATGTGTATCTAACTAGATACAGAATGAAACCTTTATCTAGGTACAAAGCTAAATCAAAATTATTCAAAAGAGCTTTAAGAAAATATATGAATTGCCCTTACTTTGAGTGTTTATTAATGTATTTATTCAATTAACCAAATACTTAGTCATTTATGAGATTAGTCATGCCCTTTGTTTTCTGTGTGGTTCAAATCATGGCATTTCAAAAGAAAAATCCAAAGAACAGTACACATAAAAAATCCCACTTTCTTTCTACTGTTGCATGATTTTAACTGTTATTTTTATATGTGCTACAGACATTCATAAACTTCATTAATTTTGCCTTCTGAGATTCTGCTTAGTTTCAGCTGCAATGAATCTCAGAATTGTATTTTTCTTGATAAAACTGTTTCGCTGATTTGTACCCTGGTCTTATGGCCTCTACATCCTCTGTGCCAGTACTATAAATGCCACTATGCTGGTTTACTCACTAATCTATAAGTGCATCATGAAAGAAACATTGCTTAAATTAGGGTTGGGTAAGGATTATGTTTCACTTATTTTTAAATAAGAAATTACCAAAAATTTGCAAATGTTTTGATAAATAGGACAGAAACAATTTAGTTACTTGTCAATTCACATATGCAAGAAAGCATGACTGTCAGACAGAGGGAGTTTAGTTTCTAGCACTTAAATGTTTGGATTTGATTCCCGTTGCTTTCATAAATGTTTATGATTCTGAGTTAGTTATGATGCCATCTCTTCTTTTTGAGAGGCTGTTCACCCTTAACAGCTACATAAGGCAGGTACATGATCCTCTCCATGCTATTGAATATGGGCAGTGTGGATGGATGAGAATTTTCGTATTGTCAGCTTCTTGACAAGAATGTATAAAAATTAGCTGATTTCTTAACTCTATAAACTTAAAAAGAACATCAAGCTCTCTTGAAACTGAACTTTAATTTCTAAGAACTTGATTTTAAAAAATGAATGTATGAAAAACTAAACTGACAGATTTGTCCATCCCTAGCTTAAACCTTGCATTGGTAAAAGTAGGGCAGCAGGAACAAAGGGAATGGGTAAAACTCACCTGGGTATTATCTTGATAATATTCTAGCCACCATGGAGTTATGTCAGTACAAATCTAGTTTCTGAATATTAGACAGAATCTTAGCTCCATATGTTCAGGATTGTAAGACCAGTCTGCATTTCTAATCAAAGTTATATCGAAGTGACTTGTGCTTAGTCATGGAGTTGATCAACCAAGTAAATGTATATCCATGATCCATCTAGATATATGCCCATCACTCATCACCTTGCCACATTCAGCTGTGCAGTGACAATGGCTTATCTTTCCAGGAGGAAATTAACAACTAGTTTTTTGAATAGATTACTTTCTTCTATAGTACATGGTCTTGGGGTGGATTCTGCAGTTGGCTTACATGTGCAAATCTTACTGAGGTTACCAGGTAGACTTCTATGTACATCTGTGGAGGCTAGGGAAGCTACAGCATTTGGTAATGTTTGACTGCCAGTGCAAATATGGCTGGTCCACTTTTATGGACTCATCCTTATGTCTCTAATTCTATCCATTTTACTTCCCACCAGAGGAAAAAAAGATCAGTGGCTAGATGTGTAAACACAACCATTCTGGGCAGAAGAAAGAGATTTAATGCACATCTGAATGCTCATTCAAGTGTGTATGTCTATTAGCACTATGTTACTCTCAATGGGATGCAGATTCTGATGTGCATTCCCAATCACAAGTAACACAACTTGTCGACATGCGCTGGGCCTGCACTAGGACATGCCTCAGTATGCACAGTTGCTTCTTCAGTAAGGGGAACAAGAGCAACACATGCTACAAAATTGTTTGAAACAACAGATGCTTCACACATTCTAATGAAACCTTCAAGAATGGGACAAATTTTACATATCCTATTAGCAGCATTTAAGTACCATGTCCCTGATTTCAACAAGACTGAAATGACTTAATTTCCAGTTTGATGTAATGTGTAGATTGGTCTAAGAGTAATTTATACCTTTTATTTAAATGTCAAAGTATATTAAGAATATGTTGCACTTGTTCTTACCACATGGAACTTTTCTCATGTCATATCCATATGCCACACGAATTGTGTTCTGATACATGCAATTTCATGCAATTATGTTTCTATAAATTCTTAAAAGGGAAAATTCTGGTCTTAAATTTATTAGATAGAAAAACAGCATATTGACTTTAGTAAAACTTATTTATAAGCATTCATGCCTTGAAACTATAGTCTTTTCTGTTTTTATGGCTGAAGTACCAGCACCTTCAGTATGCAGGGGGACTATTCCATCCTCTGTTCATTAAAGAGTTGCTCCTAGTACCGTTAATTTAAATGACCCCTTAAGAAGATTGGGTCCCAAACCCCAGTTCCTTTATCAATCCATATTTAAGAACAGGTCATATATAGTGACCTTCCCAGGAAAATATAACTCATTTCAGTGAAGTCAGGAGGAAGACACACACGATTCAATGTAAGCCTAATGATCTGGTACAAAACAAAACATGAGCAAACCAAATTCAGTTTTATAGTATAGTATAGTAATTACAATATTTACCCTAATCAGTGATATCCAGTTAGATAGCATGTGAATGCTACCCAACATGCAACTTTAAAATGATTTTGAATACAACCAAGTATTGCATACATGAAAATATTTTTTGTTTCTTTCATAGTATTCCACTTTGGCTTGACTGGTTTAAAATAGATGTATGTGTTTTGTGTGCCTTGAAAATAACAAAAATGCAAATACTGTGAAAATGTTCAAATTCCTCTAATGGTAAAACTAAAGTTACCACAACTAATTAGAAGACAGATCCTTTTCAGTACAACTGCTTATAAAAGTTGTAGGTGACAAGCACCATTCCAGATAAGGCATTGCTGCTATTTGAAAGAGAAGAAGGTATCTAGAATAATGGAGTAAATCACCTGTAACACTGGCAGATCTTGGCTTAATTAGTCCATGTTTTGCCACTGTGCATTTCGGATGCTCTACTCACAGTTAACCTAACAACTAATTGTCTGCTATAGCAGCCTTCCCCAAACTAATGCCTTCTGGATGTGTTGTACTGCAATTCCTGTCATTCTTAGCCAAGATGACCATGATTTTTTTCTCATGTACAATGTATTTGTTACATTCACACGCTACCTTTCTTATGCTGAAATTCAAGGCAGTCTCTCATGCATTCATTGGTCAATAGCCAGACCTGCCTAGCTTCAGCATGGTTTCTATAGCTGCTTTGAGTGCCATGTGTTATGGGAAGGTGAGCAATCCTGTTGTCCCTGGGAGAATTGTTTAGTGTCTACCTTCTGAGGTCATAGACACTATGACCATGGAACGGGGAATTCTTACATTCCAGTACCCCTCCCCATTTTGTTGGCTGCTTCCCAAGATCACAAATGCAATCTCACGGAGGGGACATCGGTCCTTCCAGTGGGTAGGGAAAAGAAAGGAAGCTACTGGAAATTCCTATGGCCTCTCAATCCATGGTGTAGCAGTGTACCAGTTCTAGACAGGCTCAGAAGCTTGTCAAGGATAATTTCGTAAAGGAGGAGGATAGACAGACCAAAATCCATTGTCTCCCCTCCTACCCTGTTGGCAACAGCCTGGCAGGACAAAGATGCCCTTCTAGAAACTTCCCGCAAAGGAATGTACTTCTCACATTCTTTATTGAGGTAACAGCCCTCCTCGCGCTCTCCCCCACTCCCTCTCTGCATGTAAGTATGCATGTAGGTAGGTTATGAAAGCTTGTTTATCAATATCAGAATATCTAACATAAATAAATCTGAGTAATTTTATGGATAATCCTTAACACCTATGTTATAGATGTAAGCGATATCATCAGAAGAAACCAAAAGGCAGGAGTATTTAGAGCCCAAGCAGTCTCAAGCTGGTAAGATCTTTCAGAAAGTCTCTTGTATATTATTTCTGAATGAAATTGGCCCTTCCTAAGTAAAGTGGTATGAGAACGAAGAACTAGCTCTCATTCAAAATTGTACTTGTTTCTCACTTGGATTCTAGTATCAAGCAGATTGTGTTTCAGTGTATGAACAACCCAGGCAGGTTCAGCTACTAAGTATGTAGAATTGTGAAAAATAAATCATGCAGTATGTATTGATTGGACATGTAGTTGCATGTTAAATTATATGTTCAGAAAAGCAAGCTTACAGAAACACTTGCTTCACTTCTTTGTCATAGTTTCTCCTATGCAAGATGTGCTAACTGTCATACCAGTATTCCTGCTGAAGGATATGTGGAGCATTTGCTTGAAACTCTAAAATATGTATTTTGTAGAAACTGCTCAGTAATTTACCAGAAGATAGATATATTCATTTTCCATCCTGGGCTTTTAAAGCTGGGATCAGTTTAGTGCAGGACTGGGCAGGATAAAGGCTGGGGCCAAGGCACAGTATCACTTGGTAGGAGGATGGTTTCTTGAAGGAACATCTGAGGCACAGCCAAGGCCCAAATAGATGCAAAACACAATCCATGAAGCAGAGCCAAGTAGCATATCAAAGGTCAATAGTACAGAAGTTTTTACTTTTGTAAAAACTGGGAGCCAGTGTGGCGTAGTGGTTAAGAGTATGGAACTGGGATTCAGGTGATCTGGGTTCTAGTCCCCACTCAGCTATGGAGCCAACTGGGTGACTTTGGGCCAGCCACAGACTCTCAGCCCAACCTTTCTCCCAGGGTTGTTGTGGGGATAAGACGGAAAGTGGGAGGAGGAGATTGGTAAGCCCATTCTGAGTTCTTTAAAGAAAGGGGCTCCTCTTGAAGGGATGATGCTTTCATCGTGTTTGCCTGTGGGAGCTGTCTGTTAAGAAGCAGTGCTTTTTTTGTATGATATATTCCCAATTTTGTTTTCCTGAGATCTTTGACAGTGTATGTGGTATGTTGGTCTTTGGCCTTGACAGCTTTCCTACCCTGTGGTTTTACCTAGTAGTATATCATCCTCTACATGGCCAGTGGTTAAGCATTGTGCCGATTTAGGTTCTAATCTACTTATTTTGTCCTGTAGCAGTGTTATTGGCTTCCACTTGCAATCTGCTATGAAGTTTGAGCCCCAATAGCAATATGCTAGACCCAGAACTGATCATACTTAGAGCAGACCCA